TTTCCTTTCCTCTTTCCCAACAAATCATTTGGGAAGATAAAACCAGTTCTAAACCCACATGAGATGAGTGACCTGTAGATGGCTGTGTTGCTCCATGCTGCCTCAACAGCTGATTTTTTTTTTTTTTCCAAGTGATTTTCTGTGAAATTCCAAAAAGAGCTCACCTTGGCTGCCCAAACTGAATTACAAAGCTCCTGGTGGGTTTTGGTACAGGAAAAACACAACTGCAGGCCCTTCCCCAGCTGCTATTTCAATAAACAGCTCCTTCCCAATTGCAAAATAAGGAATTAAGGGACAAAATTGTGTTGTGCAGCAGTCTTGCTGAAAGTTTGGGTCATTTTGGGGAGTTTGGGGCAAAATCTGCTGATTTTAAGCAGAAAAACCCCTCAGAAATGTGATGTTTCTTACCCAAAGTTTTTGGGGATGTGAATTTTTTAACATTTTGGGAACTTTCTGCATTGCTGGCACTAAAGCAAGATTCAAGCATTTAATTAAACTTCAGAGGAGGGGAAAGAATTAGATAAAGAGAACAGGGGCACAAAGTGAGAGCCAGACAAGGGGAAATGCTTTTCCTTTTCCACCTTCATTCCCTCTTCTGGTTCCTGACTCAAATCAAACTTTTTTTCTTTTTTTTTTTTTTTTTAACCCATTTAAAAACCTTTTTCCTCAATGCCACAAATGCTGCTTTTGGTCTCTGCTGAGTTCAATTCCCAGTGAGGGTGACACGAAGAAATTCTCAGCAATTTTGGCAGCAGCAGCCACTGCTGAGGGTTTGATCAGCCCCAAGCCAGCACAGAAATGACCCTGCAGAGCAGAGTGTGGTGGTGCTGAGGTCACTCCCCAGCCAGGCTGACTTACAATGATGTCCTGCCTGGTTTTGAAAGTGTTGATGTAATGGTTGTAATGGAAATCATCCATCTGCCTCAGGATTGCTGTCATGCAGGCCACAAAAATAGCCTGGAATGGGAAAAACAACAAAATATTGGGTTATTTTCCTGGGTTAAGCATTGTGGCTTCAGAGTGTGGGACATCAGTGTGACCTCATCAAATAAACACAAAATATTGGGTTATTTTCCTGGGTTAAGCATTGTGGCTTCAGAGTGTGGGATATCAGTGTGACTTAATCAAATAAACACAAAATATTGGGTTATTTTCCTGGGTTAAACACTGTGACTTCAGAGTGTGGGACATCAGAGTGACCTCATCAAATATCACTGATCACAACCCTCCTTATCTGTGTCCCAACATCAACCTGGGGCTGTTTGCTCCTCTAAACCAGTCAAGAATTCCTAAAATTCGAGTTTGAAATCTGGGTGCTGCTTTCTTTTCCCCCCATGGATCACAAGTGAAACACATCCTCCAAACACAGGATTTCATTTTGTATCTATGGATCCACTCCATCAGATCTTAAAAAGTCTTTTGCAAGTCGGCTCTGCTTTTCAGATTCAGCAGGGCCAGCTGAAATTCTCGTGGGTGGCACATTAAAATGACCCCAGATTTATAAAAAATCACTTAAATCCCCAGCTCCTGGCTTTCCCATCCTTCTGTACACGAAATTCAGGGGGAATTAAAACACCCCAGCTGCCACACACGGGTCAGGAATGCCCTGAGGGATCTCATTTTATCCTTTTGAGCCCAGGTGACAAAATGCAGCAAAGATCTCATGTCAGGCACTGCACTGACACAAAATTCTGTGCACGGGGGCCCAAAGGAAATGAAATCATCCCCAGTGACTCAGCTCAAAGTGGAGTTTAGGATAACATGAATCCTAATCCTCAGAAAAACATCAGCAGCCACGGCTGGGTGGCACAGGAGCCCTGCAGGGAAGGGAGGGATGAGTTCATCAGGAACTGCTGCCCACTGAGAGCTCCCAGGGGAATGAACCCCACTGTGAGAGAGTGCTGGGGATGGAGGGCAGGCACGGGAGGCTCCCAGGGACACAAATCCCAGTGTTAAAGGTGCTGGGGATGGAGGGAAGGCAGAGAAAGGCTCCCAGGGACACAAATCCCACTGATAAAGGTGCTGGGGAGGCAGGGAAAGGCTCCCAGGGACACAAATCCCACTGATAAAGGTGCTGGGGAGGCAGGGAAAGGCTCCCAGGGACACAAATCCCAGTGTTAAAGGTGCTGGGGATGGAGGGCAGGCACGGGAGGCTCCCAAGGACATAAATCCCAGTGTTAAAGGTGCTGGGGAAGGAGGGGAGGCAGGGGAGGCTCCCAGGGACACAAATCCCAGTGTTAAAGGTGCTGAGGAGGCAAGGAAAGGCTTCCAAAGAAATGAATCCCAATGTTAAAGGTGCTGGGGAAGGAGGGGAGTAGGAAAGGGCTCCCAAGGACATGAATCCAACTGTTAAAGGTGCTGGGGAGGCAGGGAAGGGCTTCCAGGGACATGAATCCCACTGATAAAGGTGTTGGGGAGGTAGGGGAGGCTCCCAGGAATATGAATCTCACTGTTAAAGGGGCAGGGAGGGAAGGAGAGGCAGGGATGACTCCCAGGGACATGAACCCC